GGACGGGAAGGGGGAATAAAAAAAATAAATAGATAATAAAAAAACAAAAACAAACCAAAAAGAAAAAAAAAAGGTTGGCGGAGGCGAGGGGGGAGAATACTGGAGGGATACCACACGCAAAAAGGAGGAAAGGGAGGGGAGAGAACCGGGAGGGGGGAAGGGGAGAGTGAGGGGCTCAAAAGACATAACAGAGGGGAGATGGGAAAAGGTAGACAGCCAGACCACACAAGGCTGCGAAATTGGACAAATGTAGCTGCAGGGGCTATGATAAAAGGGCATATACACAAACGCAGATACCAGGACATGACCAGCCACCCCAGATCAAACGTGAGACGGAGGAAAGCGCATAGTAGAAATGGGGCAGATGCACCCATCTATAAGGGCTTAATGTACAGGCACCAGCTCTGAATGTCACTAACAGTACAACGCTGTGGTGACCAACACCGCAACACACACATCGATTCACATACACAACCACCCTGGCCCCAACCCCCCCCCCCCTTCGGGGGAATGCTCACAAAGCAACATGCACCCAACCTCACCACAACACACGAGATGCCCGCCCACGCACCTACGACTTGCAACCCACACAATGGAATACGACCAAGAGATGACCGGGGACGTGTAGCCCACAAAACGGTCTACACACAAATGGCACAGCACATGACATGCCCCATGATCCACACACATAGGGGTAGCTTACCCGGATAGGAAAAAGGGCCTACACGAGCCACACCACCAATCAAACTCTGGTCATTGCCGCTGACGGCTGGACAGACAGACACACCAGACACCACTCGTAGCTGATTTGGTGCGGGATCCTCATACCCCCCAAAGGCAGAGTGCCCCCGTCCAGGAGAGTTCTCAGACGCCAAACTCTCTAAGTTTGCGGACCCCTCTACCAGGACATAAGTCCGCTAACTCGATCTAACTCTAGGTCCCATCAGGATCAACACACCGATACACATACACCCCCTCCCCTTTTTTTTTTCTCTTCTCTCTCTCCTTCTCTCACCCCCCCTTCTCTCTTCCCCTCGCATACCCCTCCTCCTCCTGACCTTCCCCTCACTCCACCAGCCGCGGGTGCTCCGGATGGCCGCCCAGAGGACGCAAGCCCCAGAGGCTGCCCGCTACGTCCGGGAGATCTAAACGTCATCTCATACAATGTCCGGGGCCTCAACATACGGGAGAAGCGCTCCCGACTTCTACGAGATCTGAAACAATACCACACATCCGTAGCCTACATACAAGAGACATTTTCAGGAGAACCATGCACCATCCCTAAGAGACCGCAACTACCCACAGGGACTCTTCAGCAACAACCCGTTGCGCCGCACACTGGGCGTAGGTATCCTGTTCTCCAGGGGGATCCCTTTCATCGAAACAGACGCGCTCCGTTGCCTTCATGGCAGATATATCTTTGCGAAGGGGACCATACACGACCAGACATACACCTTCGCGAATATCTATGCACCGAACGCTAACCAATACAGATTTCTTCATTCGACACTAACCACCTTGATGAGATTCACGGTCGGTACTCTGATCATAGGTGGAGACTTCAACCTAACGTTCTATCACCAAGACACTACGGCAAACCTTGCTCAACAGACACCCAACAGACACAAGCGGACTATACAGCTCCTTCACCACTACCAACTCACGGACTGCTGGAGAGCGCTGAACCCCACTGCCAGGGACTACACATTTTATTCCACGACTCACGCCACCTACACCAGGCTGGACTACTTCCTCCTGCCATACCACCATCTACCTCTTCTAGTGGACTCGGAAATCCTACCCATGACATGGTCAGACCATAACACCATCCGCATAACACTTAAGTCACCCCTGTTCAGACCCTGCAAGGTATCTTGGCGCCTCAACAAAATCAGTCCTCGCAGACCCAGCCCTGGTCACGGCAACAAAACAAACCATCCTGGACTACTTCCTCACCAACAAAACCGAAGACATGACAACCCTGATGTGCTGGGAGTCACACAAAGCAGTGCTCCGGGGACACTTTATTGCGCACTGTTCGACACGGAAAAAGGCACACAACAGGGCAGTAATAGACCTCAACAAGGAGATAGCGGAACTGGAACACCGCCATAAGCGAACGACGGACCCATCAACTTACCGCGACCTACTTCTCAAGCGCACCCAGCTTACCGAACACCTGAACCGAGCAATCCAACGCTCCTTCCAACAATTCAGACATCTGGTATATGAGAATGGAAACAAATGCGGCAGGCTCCTGGCAAACTTATTAAAACAGCGCAGGAATCACTTATATATCCCCAAGAATAAAAAAGCTGACCAACAAATATGCCATCTACCGGACCAGATCGTGGCTGCGTTTACCCATTACTACAAAGACCTCTACAATTTACGACGGGACGCACAGGCCAACAAGGCACCCCACAGGAGCGAGGCTATTCATGCGTACCTGGACGCAGCAGGATTAAAACAAATAGCCGCACCACACCGGGAAGAGTTGGAGGCTCCCATAACCACTGATGAACTGACATACGCAATCAGAAAAGCAAAGACGGGGAAAGCACCAGGACCAGATGGACTACCGCTACTATACTATAAAACCTTCCTACCGGACCTACTGCCAAAACTACACTCTGCTCTAAACTCAATTCTAGACGGCGCTACTCCCTCAACCCCATTCACAACAGCAAACATCCTGCGCAAGCTACCGCCCGATATCGGTCCTGGATGTGGACGTCAAGCTTTTAGCTAGCGTGCTGGCCAACCGAATGACACCACTACTCCCGGACCTAGTTAACCCGGATCAGACGGGGTTCATTCCAGGAAGAGAGGTTAGAGACAACACCAACAGACCCTGCTCCTCTCCACGGACGCCGAAAAGGCATTTGATAGGGTGGACTGGGAATTCCTCTTCAAAACCCGGGTATCGGCCCCAAATACATGCAATGGATAGAGGCGCTCTACAATGAACCAACGGCTAGACTCCGCATCAACGGGGCCCTCACAGACCTGTTCCACATCCGCAACGGAACACGCTAGGGATGCCCCCTATCCCCCTTGCACTATCCCTAGAGCCATTCCTCAAGAACATCAGAGGCAATAAGGTGATCCGCGGATTCAGTATAGGCTGATCGCAACACAAAGTCCTGGCATATGCGGATGACCTTCTCTTTATAGTACAACACCCGGCCACAACGCTACACACGATCATGACTGAATTCGAGACTTATGCCAACGTCTCCAACCTACGCATCAACACAGCAAATCAGAAATCCTAAATCTCAATGTTAGACACACCCAAATGCAGAAGCTCAAGTGCCGCCTCCCCTTTCACTGGTGCACTACCAAGATGAGGTACCTAGGGGTATGGCTCACACCGAACCCAGCGGGTCTATACCACCACAACTTTCTACCACTTCTCAAAACCGAGCAGGCTGAACTGCAGGCCTGAAACACCTATTACATATCATGGGTAGGCCGCATCAACGCAGTGAAGATGACCCTACTCCCTAATTTCTTATTCGTCTTCCAAACAATAACAGTTGAGGGCCGAAGAGCTTTTTCACATCCATGCAAGCGGCTATCCGTCACTTCATATGGAAAGGCAAGCCCCCCCGAATAGCCCACTCCCAACTGACGCGCCCTAAACTCAAAGGGGGACTGGCTCTCCCAGACTTCAGGAAGTACTACCTAGCAACACACCTCACGCGAATCATCGGTTGGTCGACAACACCAAGAGACAAGCTATGGGTTCAACTAGAAGCGGATAGCTCCGACTGCGACCTTAGAGCCCTGCCATGGATCACCCCAGAAGCGAGCCGACGCACCCAACACGGAAACCCGTTTGTGAAGGCCACCCTCCACATCTGGCACCAACACGGCCCCAAATACTATCTTACTACCAGCCCGAGCACTCTACTCCCTTTCAGGGGAAACCCGGATTTCCCGGCAGGAGACATGGGACCCACCCTGAAACTAAGGACATATTCACACCCCCCTGCACAATAAAGCCAATCGCAGACCTATTTCCAGACCAAAGACACACCTTCCTACACACTATCACAAGGGAACAACTACAGCAATATGCACATTCGATCCCCCAAAGACCGAGCCTCACACGGGATTGTATGGAGTTTGAGTCCCTGTGCCTGTCAGACACACTCCCCCCCCGAAAATGATCTCCCAGATATACACCTCACTGACAAGTGCACGATACCTTCTCGCACCACCGTGCATCAGGTGCTGGGAAGAGGATCTGGACGTAATACTCACGGACGCAGACTGGGACAAAATCATCACACTCACCCAGAAGACCCCAGGATCAGCGAGGCTCCAAAAAAATTTGTATAAAGTATTTACGAGATGGTACATCACCCCAGCGAACCTACATACTAGAGACAGCTCGAAAGCAAACACGTGCTGGCGATGCGGAATAGAGACTGGGACATTTCTTCACTTATGGTGGGACTGCGCCCTCAACCAGCCATTCTGGGAAATGGTGGGCCGAGTGATCAACGAAACCACAAAGGAAAACGTCCCGGTGGCACCAGAACCCTTCCTACTACACCATACAACAATACCCGCACCAGCGTATAAACGATCTGTGATACTGAGGCTCCTCAATGCAGCAAAAGCAACAATCCCGATCTTCTGTAGGCAACCTCGCACCTCCTCACTCAGGCGCTGGGTGGAGGAGGTGGAGGACACCCGGAAATTCGGGACCTGAAGGCAACGACAGCGAACGCAAAAGAGAAACATAAAAAGATGGTTCTACTGGCTGAGACACATCGCCTCGGCGACTTTGTGACGCTCTTAAATACATCAGACCACTGGGAGGAGCCCACGGGAGATGTATGAAGGAGATACACCGGCAGGGCGAACGGGGACGAGAGACAAAGAATGACCACAAGCCTCCCCCCCTCCCCCCTGGTTTAATTTCTTTTTTTCTCTTTTCTTCTCTCTCCCCTTCTTCCTTTCCTCTCTCCTCCGTCCCACACAAGTGCCTGAAACAGGCCAAACACAAACACTAGGGGGAGACACATGTACGCAGACGTACAACCATACACAAAACCTCTACTGACTACATAACCTACGATCCCGATCAAGTTCACAACCCCATACGCTGTTGAGGCCCCGGACATTGTATGAGATGACGTTTAGATCTCCCGGACGTAGCGGGCAGCCTCTGGGGCTTGCGTCCTCTGGGCGGCCATCTGGAGACTCGCGACAGAAGCTTCAGCCTGAGACACCCAAAACCACACTAAACGGGAGAAGAACTACAGAATACACACGCAACATACGAGGCTGCACAGCCCCTCAACTATCGCACCACTACACACACACGCGCAAACACCACCACCTCCAAGACGAAGCAGACCCCACTTGGTAAAATACAGGCATAAACCAACAATCCACCCGTATTAAACTACGCAAATGCATCATCGCCACACGGACACGATCACACGAACCTATAATCATTGAGTCACGAAAACGCTCTCACTACTCACAACAAATATGAACAGGTGCACTGCCAATTTCAGCAAGAATACCAACATTACCCACCTGGATGATAGGAACAATATCGCCACTCAACCACCCGGGGATCTTTTGGGTCCTGTTCCCCGAGGCGTCATCCCATGAGCCTCACCAGCCTTGATCTGAGCTCCCTGTCTGTCCCGATGCTGGGACAAGAAGAGCTGGTGATGTTTTGGAGGTATGGCATTTTATAGGCAGGGAGGAGGGAATTAATTTACTTTGCTTATTACTATTTTGCAGAACTACTTGTCCACATAAGGAGGCGACTACCCACTTGTTTGCAGTACTGCCACTCACAACAGGGGGAAAAAAAATATATATTACTGGTTAAATCTATTATTTTTTCAATTTAATTTTGTCAAACTTACTAGCTGGGGTGGATGGTAGATAGTATCACTAAACCCTATAGAAGGGGTGACTGTAGGTCTAGGTTAGGCTACTCTGAGGTTAAGTGGATATTCACACAATGTACTCAGAGATCACATGGTCTAAATAGTGAATTAGATGTGCCCAATTATAGTTTTCATCGGTTTGCACCTTTAAGATTTTGTATTGATAACTATATGTGGATTTAGTATGAATGAGGGCCTTGATGGTTTATATAGAAAGTGCTCTACCTAATGATGAAAAGCATCCCACACCCCCTCTTTTTTTTTTTTCTATACTGGGCTGGTTTGCTATTTATAATGAATGTATAATTTGTTTTTATTTGGTTACACATGTCTACTTGCTTTTATCCTCATGTGTGGCTAAATTTAAGACTGACACTGCCACACTCTAAGTCCATTTGCTGTTTAAGTTTTGCAAGGGTTAAAGTCTCCCTCTGTAATTGGGCGATTGCTGCAGCTGAGGTTTTGGAGGTTTGTCTCTTCAGCCGAAGATTAAATGCATTCAGCATGAAACATGTTCGGCAGTTTGTCTAGGGATTTTTTTATTTTTTTTTACTGTATTTTCCACTAAGGTGTTTGCAATGATTTGTTATTTTAATACCCTATAGTTGGAATAAAAGTTACGAATTAAGTAATAAGGTTTATTTAACTGACTTGCA